AAATTTGGTGAAGTCAGTCATTTTAGCATCGGCCAACCGTACAAGGTGGAAAAGAATAACATTGCATTCTAAGTATGTGCACTCTCTTTATTATTTCAAACGAAAAATAACACTGAAATCCGTTTTGTGATACTTTTACTGATTTTTCGCGATAACTGGTGTTTTGCGATTCCCACGCTAAAGAGGATGATAACCCCCAAAAATGTGATAAAAGTATCACACAATTGTGATGAAATTATCACAAAAACTGTAATAAAAAGTTATTGATTAATTTTTGTGATGATTTTATCACAATATAATGTGATACTTTTATCACATTATATGGGGTTATCAGGCCCTGCAGCGTGGGAATCGCAAAACACCAGTTATCGCATGGTTTTGTGGTAAAGTGTCGCAAAACCAGACTCAGTGAAAAGCTTTAAGTGATGAATTAGATGACAAAGTTAAAGAAACGCGCGAAATTTATCGTAAAATCTCGTTTTGAAAATACTACGTGACTTCGGCCGAACCCCCTCCTACCCCCCCGTGACCGATCGTAGTATTTTGCCAAACCCCTCCCCCCCCCCCTAAAAGCGGTCACGTAGTATGGGTACGATCCCTTAGACTTATTGTTGAACTTGTTGACGAGACAGTTGGCGCCCAAGTACTTCTTGCAGTGCGAGGCACTATTGGCGTCGTTGACCATAGCGTTGTGGCCACCCTTAGCCCTGTTGATGGGCTGTCACAACAAAAAATGAAAAACTGTTGTTGTTGTTGTTGTTGTTGTTGTTGTCGTCGTCGTCGTCGTCGTCGTCGTCGTCGTCGTCGTCGTCGTCGTCGTCGTCGTCGTCGTCGTCGTCGTCGTCGTCGTCCATGGCGTTGCCGCCAAGGTGGACGTAGTTCTGAACACAGAGCCGGTAGGTGACGTTGTTCGAGCTTAGCTTAAGACGGCGCCTGCGGCCGGCGGGGTAGGCGTCCGCACGACGCAGCGGTGCGTTGCGCGGTGGCCTACCCCGCTCTCCACAGGCGCCAGGTCCGCTGAGCTCCCCGCTCCGTCCTCACCTGGGACTTGCTCCAGGGCTCCAGCCGCCGGCGTAGGGGGAACACTCTTAGCGGTGTTGATGTAGTTGTTGATGAGGGTGATCTCGTCGTGGGTGCCCCAAAACAGCCAGACCCAGTTGTGATTGCCGTCGCAGTACTACGCGGCACTGGACAAGGTGCCGTCGAAGAGGCGGGAGGATACGGTGATGCCCTTGTTGGTACTCTGGTAGGTAACCAGGTGCTGACGCCCGATGCGCAGCGCAAAGCACCACGTTGAGGTGACACTGGCGCCAAAACCGGAAGTGCATCCCACCGTGTAGCGTACTCACCGCGATGGTGCACTTGTGCAGCCAGGCGTTCTCCAACGTTGTCGAAGGCCCTGCGTGATATCAGGACCGTATGGAAGCGCATCGACACTCGGTGATGGTAACGGCTGTCTGCGCATGCAGCGCGGCGACCAAGCGTTGAATGTCAATGTAATGTCCATTTATGTACAACTTATTTGGTGTGAGGAGTTTCACTCTCCTAGATTGCGGCCCAGGCGCCACCTGGACAGAATCGATAGCGCTTGACTTCTTCACCTTTCATGAAGTACCGCGGTGACGCGACCACGGCCAGAGCCCTGCCGACGGAAATGAACCACCCGGACGTGTAAGTATTCCATTTTTTTTTTAATTTTTTGTGATCGTCGTTGAAGTTGGCCATGTTCTGAGGTTTTGAATGGCGCCCTATATAACGTGTGTCAGGGCTAAGACACAGCCCTAAGCGGGTTTGCCTACCGTATGTTCCCGTAAGGCGCCATATTGGCCCGCCCCTCGGGTATACAAACCCGCAAACACTGTTGTGTCGAGGCCCGCGGACACGCACCAGGTGACTGACCAAACCCGCACTGCACCGATTCTGTATACTGTACACATGAACTGGGACAATTTTGTTCCCTAAAAGTGAAAGTTTTTGTTACTCACGCTAAAGAATTTTGT